AAATGAGGGAGAAATGAGGAGAAATCTTCAGAATTGATTCAAAAGAAATACCCAGAAAAAAAAGTCTCAGCTGGACGTACAACAACGCTATTTAAAGACATTTTCCTAATTCATTCCAGAAACATTCTGAAAATAGGGATGAAACCGACCTCAAAGAACAGGTCGTTTTTATCGAAAACCCCTGCAGATGAAAGTGAGAAAAGCGTGGCGAAAAGGGTAAAAACCAGCGAATAAGATTCAGATATTAAGCCTTTCTCCTCCACCTCCGTCAACATCATCTAATCCCCAAGGTAAATGCAGTATATAATACTAAATAAAACCAAGTTTTGCAGTAAACTCTATTGTATTGTGCTTTTATACACTATTCGTTATTTATAAGTAGATGTTTCTTATTTAAAAATATGTAACAGAAAAAGAAATAACGGTGCTTTTGGTGGGTCCGGAACAAATTAATGGCATTTTAATGGGGAAAAAGTCAAGGCGCCACTATATATATATATATATATATATATATATATATATATATATATATATATATATATATATATATATATATATATATATATATATAATGAAATGAACCTGACAATTATTTTAAGACATTTTTTATAAAAAGAACGTATAAAACAAAATATATATATATATTTCCCCAAAAGGTATTTAAAGTAGACACCTGTTTTTATTCATTATACAGTGTGTATTAAACAGTATGTCTATTTCAAATATAGAAGTGTCCACTATTATAACGTTTGAACTAATAAAAATGTCGGATTAAAATAAAACCATTAATTTCTCTCTCTCTCCCCCTCCCCTCCTCTCTCTCTATATATATATATATATATATATCTACATGCATACGTACTTGGTTAAGTATTTTCTTTCAATTTTTGATTTACCTTTTTCTCATACACACAGATACATAGATACATAGATATATATATATATATATATATATATATATATATATATATATATATATATATATATATATACACACACATATATATATATATATATGTTTGGGGTGTGTTGGTGTTTGTGTATGAATGCATATGTATATGTAGGGTAGATATGCAAGTATACACGTGTGTGTCGCTGAAATTGCTAACGTTTATCAATCACTTAATTTTAAATCAGAGTAAATAGAATGTTTAGATTCGAAGAAATTCCTTTTAAGGAGGCAATGATTAAAACGTAAATTATATCAAGATCACAACTTTGTTTTCTTTATGAGACTTCATTATTAAATAAAAGAAGCGTTACACTTTCACCTACAAAACAAATTACCAAATTAGTTTGATTGTAATATTTTTGAGAGATTTAAAAAAAAAATCCTTTTACGTTAAAAGGTAATTATCGAAACTTTTCTTTCTAATAGAAATTGACTTTCTTCTATCTTTGAACGTTGGCTTTCAAAAAAGGCGAGTTTTGTAAGTAGTTAAAAAAAGAAATACACCATTAAACACGACTGTTTTCGTGGCAAAAAGTTCAAAAACATTTTGTCATTTTTCCCTAAATACAAATGTTTTATCATGAAACGTTTATTGTTTCATGTTATCCAGTTCAGTCGGTTTAATGACAGGCCCTCATTTTCAGTTAGGCAATAGTAGCCACAAGGGTATACGGTTCAAAACCTTTATTCTAACTCCGCCTATATAACAACAGTAAAAACTATTTAATAAAAGAGGCATACATTTCGTTCCGGAAGTGCATCGTCATAATTCCTACTGTTATTAATAACAATCAGCCTTCTCATCTAAATAAACGGCGAATACTGTCTGTCCGTCGGTCTGAAAACATTTAACTCGGGTCACACTTGCTCTACATAGATATATTACATCCTTTTGGAATCAGGATGATCCCGTGATTGAAAATCTGCCATTCATATGGTGCTTGAGCATCCAGCATTAGGATTTGTGTCCGAATGAGGAGGATCAGTTAAAAATTCAAATTTTAAAATAAATGAAAAAAAAATAGTAATTTTAAAAGTTTTTAATTTATATTGAGTTTAAAGTATCACTTAAATTTTGTGAATTTAAAAATGTTTGCTTAAATTCAGTTAAAATATCTCCAAAAGTTTATGACTTGAGGAACTCAATTTTATTTCTTCAAAATGCCAGGGAATCAGAGTTAAAGTGAAAGGTTTTATGACGTGAGGTTTTGAAGTTCCACGGAGTTTGTGATTTGAAGAACTCAAATCGGATTTTAGGCCCAAATCGATTTTTGGTCGGAATTGGACTTATAGCGAATCAGAGTTAAAGTGAAGTTTTGAAATTCCATGGAGGGAATTGAGGAATTCAAAATTATTTATTCAAAATTATCATTGATGTTTTTTTTAATCTGGACCAGGATTGCCTTTAGTTTTGTGGCGGAGGCCCAATTTGCCATCCGAAGGAGCTAGCTGAGCGCGGCTTTTAATCTAGTTATTTTATATAACGCAACAAACATTGATGTATATGGCATATTATCGACAGTAAAAGAGAAAAATGAAAACTCACTGGAAACAGTTTAGGGAAGCTTTTTTTCTTCTGATTTTTGGTGTAAATGGATTGGGGCTTAGGATGAGAAAACAGAAAATTGAATCCGAATTCTGGTCAAGTTCATTACATTCACTTATGCTCAAATACCTTTGAGAAAGGTATGGATTCATCAATTCTCGCCAGTTATGGTTTAAATAGCCGGGCAGATTGGACTCTCAAGCCGTGGATGGCAACCAGTTTGGGTGACGGACAACTTCGAATTCAAAACCGGAACAATCAAATAACTTTTGCACTTTAGTAAGTCATAGCACCTGGAAGTCATTCATTCCAGGGTTAAAGTGAAGACAACAGAAGCAGGATGTTGGATATGGTTAGTAGCAGAAGAAACAATTTGTGGCATTGAATTGTAATGGTATCATGCAAACGATCTGCGATCTTATACAATGGCTGAAACCTAATTATTCCGAGTCAGATGAAAACTGCGTAAACACGTAATAGCGCCTTATCTATTGGACTATCGCCTTCTCTTTTCTAATATAAACGCAATCGAAACCCTCTATGAAGCAAGAAGTGTGAGATGCTATGGCATAATAAATAGGAGTTAGTTTGGTGTATAAAAATGATATTGAAATAAAACTGAAGTTATGTGACAATATTTAACATGGCGTACTTACGAAAAGGGTTAAACGGACGAAAAGGGTTAAAACAAAAAGAAAGAAAGAGAAAGAAAATTATTTTTTCAGTAAATGGGAAGAGATGTACGAATTTTGTTGAAAAAGTTACACAATGTGATTCAGCTCGACACAGCTGGCAGGTCGGGGGTCAGAGGTTAAAGTCGTCGTCTGCTGAAAGGTGGCAATGGGAAATTTTGGCTGACCAAATTTCCCTGAGAAAGAAAAAATTAAAAGCAGAAGATGACGTCAGAAAGGCTGACATAATATAATGGCTCCTCCCGAAGGAGGAGGGGATCTTCCAAAATTGGAAATGTGAAATAGAAAACGAAAGAAAACGACTGGTTGAATTTTGGGAGATTTGCATAAAAACCACCTATTCGTCCGCACCACATCAGTTGAAAGGGACACCCATAAATACAAGTGCCCACGTGGGCCAAAGTTAGTTGGGGTCAGTTAGTCGGAGTGGAGTTTGCGGTCTGAAGTTGCGACCGTGAGTTAAGAGATTTCTGACATAAGGCTGTTTTGCCAACATGATGAAAATAATAATAATAATTATCTGCTGAAGAAGAAAACTCCGTCCGTGAAAGTACAAATCACAGTACTTGAAGTTAAATCCAGTTGTTAAGTCTGGTCACCCTTAAAGAAGTTACCCGAAATTTTCGTTCCGTCGCCAAATATTAGAACGGGTTGGGAAAAGAAGGAAAAGAAGAAAGAAAGAACTAAATATTTTTTTTTGTTATTTTGATATAAACATCATATCGTGACTTATTCGGGTGTCGTCCATTTTATTTTTCAATTTTATGTGCGCGTGTTCAACTCCTTGGTTTAGCTTGGTTGAGATACCCAGTGGAAATTCGGCTAACTCTCTTAAGAGCAGACCGGGATTGACTCGGAATGCCGCCATATTTGGAGGTCGTGACCAGGCCGTGACCCTGAACAACATCATAATTACTTTACTCTCACATTGGTATGCAAAGATTTATACAGTCTGGAAGTGAACGGCAAATGATACAAGGCCAAAAGAAATTTGAAAAATTAATGAAAATCTATCTCAACAAATTCATTTCTAGTTGTATAAAGATGAATATTTAAAAAAAAAAAAACATTAGGAAAGAAAGTGCTGCGTCAGCCGCCCAAGTTGCTGCCTAGCCTTTGGTGTATATCGAAGCTTGAACACTAAGCAACTATTTCAACCATCAATCAGGCTACATCATCCATAAAATATATAAACATACAATTCAAATAATTATATATATGTGTGTAAAAATTTCAGGTAGAGCAAGAATAAAGGCAAAAAGCAAACTTATCTTAGCCGACACGTTTCGTCCTCCGGAACTTTACCAATGCAAATGCAAACTACCCTTTAAATAATGTATGACGAAGGATGTTGCATATGCGACCAAAATTGTAAGCGGAAATATAACCAAGTATTACATAGGAGCGGCTGAGGGTGAGCGGAAAACACTTTTATAGGTACGACATGTGTTGAAACAATAGAAATTACAAGGACAGCATGGTTGTCTGCCTTTACCTGGAGCGAAGTAGAAAATGGCAAGGTGACCCAGGAAATAAAATAAGAAAATTGGCAAAGACTAAAGCCTACAAGAGGAGAGGTCTGAGGTGCGCCCTGTTCTTAAGATAGTAATTGTTAATATGACAAAAAAGAGGCAACGATGTTTTAAATAAGGGGAGAAAGCTAATGAAAACATACATATATAAAGAAAAGTATATAATAAATAATAAATATTACACACAATATCTTCATCAATATAAATGAAATATTTTTGCATGTATATAGTATAAATTGGATGGACTGAAATGTGTCCTAATTAATAATTAATTTGTATCATGGATGTGACACTGCTGGAAAGGCGCTAGTAAATTGAAAAACACTAAATTCCGATAGACGGAAGATATACCGATGACCAGACGAAGGAAAATGAAAGAAAAGGATATTTGTTTGTTTTTTTTTTATTGGAAAAAAAAATAGAAGAAGGTAATTAAATTTCTCGTCCGCCGGTGAGGAAAAACAAAGAGACCATCTGGATTCTATGAGAACTGAGATTAGGTGATGGGCAATTCTGGAAATCCAAGGACTGACCGGAAAGAAATAGATAATATTTTTACGACCGTTGTGCAACCGTTCACCTGGCCGCGTGTTCAGTCGATTGATAAGGATTGACTTTTAAAAATCAGACGGAAGAACATATGTAAAAGAATAACAATTAAATTTTTTCTTTGTCAAAGCGTGATAAATCTTCCCAAATCCAAGGTATTGTTCCCTTTTTGCCACTTGTTGACCAAAGGATTGACGATGGGATAAAAATGATAAATTCCACATGCGAAAACGAGCACACACAAAAATAAGAATGAATTTTGAACGATAATTGAAATTTGACCGTTGTCCTAGACCACGACTAGCCCTTAGGGGACGGGTTCGGTCAGGTGATCAAGGAGGAGAGGTCCCAGATGTAATTTCAGTGAAGTCCGATGACTTTCCCCACCCTTCGCAGTGATGGTGAGAGGCACTCACACAAAGCAGGAAGGAGACGAGTTTGATAAGGTGACCAAAAGGAGGAGAAGGTCCAGGTAGAATCCCCCATATTTAGACATTTGCAGGGAGACCCCTGAGTGGTTGTTTGGGGAAGGCGAGCATCCCCAGAGCACATTATAGCCCACCTTAGCCCTTGCGCAGAGGTCCATAAAAAACAGAATGCCAAGAAACTAAGGCTAAAAGAGACAGAGACGGCGGGGACCACGAACATACTACGGCAGGGAGACCGTAGAGAGATCAGAGTACCATCGCTTCATCTGATCTCATGTGATTTGCCGCCCTGAAGAAAAAGCCTTCGACTTAAAACCTCGTTGCATAAGTCTCGCTCCAAAATTCTAATCACAGTGTGTCACGATAATCGGGAAGAGTCGATAGTTATTTCATGGAGAGTATAGGCCTGCTTAAGCCATCTATCACTGCACTATCAACTTTGTATCGAGATATTGCATATAAATATATATATATATTTTACCCAATTTATTTATTTTTTCTTCTTTCGTGTGACTTTACTCTGACCGGACCAAACAAAGTAATCGATTCAGTCGACAATAAGGACCAAGCCTGTCTTGCGATCAATTAATCCCAACGTGGGGATAGACAAGACTTGGGCTGAAGCAATCAACTCTACGAACAGCCGGGGGGATCGAGCTTGAATACGGTGTGGCCGGGGTAGATGTTACATAATGGCATGAAATTACAAATAGTAGAGGCGGTACGTCGCAACTCAAACTATTTTATTATTTATTAATAATAATAATAATAATAATAATTGATTGATTTGTTAATTTGTTTATTATAATTTACTTTATTTATTTGTGTTGAATATTTTTACTTGTTTTTATGTATTTATTTCTTATTTTTATTTCTTCTATTTTGTCTATTTTAACGGGAGTGGTTTCTTAATTTGTTTATTATTTGTTTGGGTTAATTTATTTTACTTCTTTTTATATTATTTTGTATTTTTATTTATTCATTTCAGTTTTCGAATTTTAAGTAACATAGTAAAATTTATTTTCATGTCTGCATTTTGAGATGAGCTCATATCGTTTATTTAGTAATTTATTTTGATCTGGGAAGGGAATAATAGCTATTTTTCCCCTCCAAGTAAAATTTGCAGGTTTTTGATTGATTGTTGTGGACTGATGATCTTTTCCTTATTTTCCATGATATTTTTGGTGTGATTTTTGTTTTGGTTTAGTTTCCCAGATATATTTGGAAAACATGGTGCTGTTCACATATTAAAAACCTATCCCTCCAAAATAACCATTAGAATAGACTACAACAATCAATCCCAAACTTGGACGAAAAATAGCTATAACTGCTATATAAAGATAAAATATTACTACGTTACTCAAAAATCGAAAACCAAATACAGTAAATAAAAATTTACAAAATAAAAATAAGTAATTAAATAAGAAAAACAAGTAAAAACAAATCCATATAATAAAATATATATGCAAATTAACAAATCTCTCCTGCTAAAATAACCATTAGAACTAGTAAAAATAAATATAAATAAGCAAAAACAAAATAACAGAATAGACTACGGCAATCAATCTAAAAATTAGACGAATAAATAGCTTTAATTATCTCCCCAGATCAAAACAAACTATTAAAAATCCTCCAAAATGTTTTACTACTTTAATAAAACAACGAAAACCAGAAAGAATAAATATATGAAATAAAAAATGAAAATAAAAAACATGTAAAATAACACAAATAAATAAATAAACAAGCCACTCCCGCCAAAATAACCGCCAGAATGGATTACCCACAATGCACCACTGACCCATATATATAAATAGTAGAGAAAAATCCAACACTCACGGCCTGACGATTGTATCTAGTGAAACAGCCTGTCGCCTGTGAGTGTTGACTTCATATATATATATATATATATATATATATATATATATATATATATATATATATATATATATATATATATATATATATATATATATATATATATATAACCATTAGAATAGACTACAACAATCATATAGGAGGCACGGCAGAGTAATGGATAGCGGCTTGGATTGAGGTATCGCAGAGCCGTGTTCGAATTCCAGTCGAATCCATTACATTCACTTACGTGCTAATACCCTTGGGAAAGGTATGAATCCTCTTCCTCTCCCTCCAGCTATGGGTAAAATAGCAGGACAGACTGGTTTCTATATCCTTGGATGGCAACTGGTCTAGGAGAAGGACAACTCTGAATTCAAAACCTGCGGAGGGTCGTTTGGGTACCTTGTGGCATTCGGTGCTCCAGGTCTCTGTATTCGTCCCTTCAAAAAGTGTGGATGGTTCTGCACGAGGCCTTCACCACTATAATCAAATCTCATGTGCCGGTGTCGGGCTGTCGGTTTCCTGAAACTGATCTGCTTGACCTCATACGTCGAGTCTCGATTATATATATATATATATATATATATATATATATATATATATATATATATATATATATATATATATATATATATATTAACCTTGCTTAAACGTTATTCATTATTTAAACAATAAATAGTGTATATCTGTTTAAGCCATTGACTTTTAACGTTTTCAACAATTTGGGATATGCCAGCAAAAGTACATCATTTACAAACGAGTCTGTTCAATAATTTGAAGGAAATAAAAACATTTGAAAAGTTAAGCCTGTCTTTATTTCTTCTAAGCGCCTTATGTTTCTCTTTGTTTCAGTAGAAGAAATGTTAAATCGATTTACGGGGATTAAAGCCGTAACCAAAGATAATTCTGTTTGTAACTATTTTCATAAATAATAATTCCCTAAATTTATTTTTTCCTCAGTTGTGTTAAACTTAGATTATCGACTTATGACCTTCCAACGGAAATGTAAGACACAAGACTGAAGATTCCGATTGACTTCTTGACATTCCGGAACATTTATCAAACTTTTTCTACTAATTTTATTAACTTTTTCACCGTTTCATATTTTACATTCCTTGCAGCAGTTTCCTAATGTTTCCCAGAGATTTCACTCGTTTCAATATTCTTTTATTTTTCATATACAGTTCTTTTAATGATCGGCCACAACCTTTCTATTGGATTAATATCTGGAAAGACTGGAAGTCATTTAGTAAATATGGCGTCTTTTGGGGGCAAAGTTGTCAATAGTTAGCTTTGAAGAATGCGAAAAATATTGTTTTGTATGAATAACATTCTTTAGCTTTAAAATTTATGCTTGTGAACTCTTCACTTCTTGATCGGGAATTACAATAATTTTCTGCATTTATCTTGACACGATCATTAAATTGTCCAGTCATTCAATTTCCCAGACAGAAAGTAGAGAGATAAGCTTCCTTGTTTAAAAAGAAATTTGGATAAAGTATTTTTTTTTTTTACAAAGAAAGATGAAATTAAAGCCAGGATAATTTTAAAATTCTTACCACAATGCATAAATGTATGATATCAGTTTATTATTGACTATTTCAATTGAAAATGCAAATTACACAAAGTTCGTTCATAGAATGAGATATGCAGAAAGGATAAAATAAGAACAGAGACGTCCAACCTATTTATCTTTTCTGAAAATTTTATTTTTATTTTTCGTCAAGCTTATATCTCTGAACAAGTTTTAATCACGGGAAAATGACGATGTACTAATCAAATTTTATATATTTTCCCACTCGATGACTCACAATCTATCTATCTATCTATCTATCTATCTATCTATCTATCTATCTATAACATTCTTTTTCTTTCTTTCTATCTATCTATCTATAACATTCTTTTTCTATCTATCTATCTATCTATCTATCTATCTATCTATCACATTTTCTTTCTTTCTTTCTTTCTTTCTTTCTTTCTTTTCTTTCTTTCTTTCTTTCTTTCTTCGTATTTTCCCATTACCTTTTTCTTCATAGATTACTTCATATCGAACTACGCCATCTTGACGGATATGTGGCAAAACATGTGTTCTGTAAAATCAGTATTGAATTAAGGACACTATCAATTCTTAAGCAGATTTTTTACGTCATCGAGGTGTTTTACATTTGAGAAAAAGTACAGACTGTATATGCTCAAAGGAGGTAGTGAGAGATAAAAAGAGTGAGTGAGCCAGATTGAAAAGGGAAAAGACATAACGAAAGAAAGAGAGCGATAGAGTGAGTGAGTTATGAGTGTGTGTGTGTGTGTGTGTGTGCGAGAGAAAGAGACGGGGAGAGAGAGACAGACAGACAGAGTTGTTATGTGTGTGTGTGGATTTCTATTTCTGTAACTGTATTTCCCCAGGATTTCTAATTCAACAAAAGCGACACATTTTTCCCTGTCTATAAAAAATGTCTATTTCTCGAAGTCTTTCGGATTGTATTGCATTTGTTTTAGGCGTTTATTTTTGTTTATATATTCAGGTAAATTATTTTAATACACTCAGGTAAGATTCTGAAATTAAAAAGGGAAAAAATTTCTTCATTTTCAAATCGAGTAACTTTAAAGAAAATTGAACCATTTTAAATAGTTTCAACAAGGCTGTGTTTTTGCCATAAGAAATTCTTTTTTTCTTTATAAATGGAGTCTGTGTTTTTATATTTTAACTTGTTGAATATCAACAACGCAAATAAAAAAAATTAATTTTTTAGTTTTGGATATCTCTTTTCCGACTGATCTAACAAATTTAATTACTTTAAAAATATATTCAAATTACAACAGCAACCATAAAAATATGTTACAATTTGCCTTCAATTTTACCCGCGTGAATTTAGGAGAAATTTATCATAGATTTTTTAATTCTGTATTGACATTGATTAAATGTGATTGTTGTAAGCAGGCCTATGTGAAAAGATATCTTTGCTATCTCCTATTAAAGCATTTTTGAAGAATTCCAAATCAACGCATTCACCCAGTGTATGAAATACACAACAGAAATATATCATTACCTGTGTTTCTGTAGGAAAATTAATCGAGAGAAAAATAAAATTTCGCTCATTCTCTTTTCTGATCAAAATTAAGAGCAAGATTTTGCATTGGGGCTTCAGAACATTAAAAAAGTTAAATGATCGAATCATCCTTACGAATGAACTCTTAGATATTATTATCGAAGGCTTTTGAAAAGGAAATAGAAACAAATATAGCACTTAATGACAAAATCTATTCTTGTTGTTGTTGAAGCTTCTAGAAGGTCAAAAGCATTATCGTCCCTAAAAGGAACCAATATGAAATCAGCTTATTACACAAAATTGAGAGTGTCGTGAG